TCGAAGAGCAGCTAGTTGGTTTTAAATTAGCGTTATTGTTAACAGCGACCTCCAACTCATCGAGTCTATTTTTTTTTATCCAAATGTCCCCCTCCTCCATCAACAGGTTTTGCTCTTCTGGCATTTACCACTTGCATTTGCGGGGATGATGCTGTTAAAATGATTGATTTTTTAATCAGCAAACCCCAAAGTCTATTCTCGAGAAGCGTATGGATCACCCCTCTGTACCTCAAGTGCGATCGAACTAGGTTGATCTTTTCGCTGGTTCTGCGATATTGTGCCACACGCTGGCATATTGTCACAGCGTGCTGACTCGTCAAAACTGGGGTCACTGCCTGCTCCGTCTCGGTTCCCTGCCTCCCTCCCCCCCCAGCGTCAGTCAGGTCAGTCAATCCGCGACTAAAATTAACCGTATAACTTGCCTTCAAGTCAGAACTGCGGCTACAATTGTCTTCCTTGTGTTCTCCTCCTCCTATTCCACCCGATCATGGAAGCATTTCTTGGATCCTGGAAGCTCGACCACAGCGATGGCTTCGACGAAATAATGGGCCGTCTAGGCGTCAATTTCGTCACCCGTAAGGCCGGCAACACCATGAAACCCACGATGACAATCACGAAGGAGGGTGATCACTACAAGATGGTGTCCTCCAGCACCTTCAAAACTACCGGTTTCGAGTTCAAGCTGGGCGAGCCCTTCACAGAGACCACACCAGACGGTCGAAAGGTGACCTCAACCATAACTATGGTTGGCAATATGATGAAGCAAATCCAAGTGGGTGATAAAACCACAGAAATCGAACGGAGGGTTGAGGGTGACCATATAAGGACGGTAAGTGAAACCAACCATGCTTGGCTGCCTCAATCCTTGCATGTCATGCACACATTTTTGCTATTAATTCGATCTGATACTGATATAACTTTGTCTACTTCCCTCATTACTAAAGAGTTGCAAATTACTAAGGCTTTTCTTCTCTCTCTTCCCTTTTGTAGATCGTGAAGGTGGAGGAGCTGACGTGCCATAGGGACTACAAGAAAGTCTCATCTGCGACCTTCTGTGTTCCTATGTATTTTTTTCCTGACAGAATGGCAGCTATTACATTAAATATACCCGCTTTTATTGCATTTTGCGTGCTTTTTGTAACTACTTCGGGAGAACTAAACAGCAAGCATTCGGCCTATTTTGCGGATTATCCGCTCTGGGAAGCCTCATATCCACATTTCGCTAGAGAGGGAAAAGGAAACAAAGTAGCTCTGAAACTGCAATGGAGACCAGGAACGGAATCAACAACAGAACCATGCGATCATTTACGGTATGGCTAAGTTTGTAAAAGTTTGATCGTTACTCGCATACCGGTGTGAACGCATTTACGAAAATTTAGAAATAATAATGAGCAGCGTTAGGCATATTAAGTACTCAAAAGAATTTCTAAGTATTTGTTAAGAAAAGTAAAATTTTCCCGATAATAGGCGAGATCCGGAGACGTAAAAAAGCAATAAATTAGAAAAAATAAATATAAATCTTTTCGTAGGTTGGAAACGGTATGTAACAAATTTCTTTATATAAAAAAGAACTTTTCTTTGGTCAAAATGTTTTATACATATTACCATTAGTGGATAATTATTTATTGAATATCGTTCAATTAAAAGTGGCATCATTTTGATCGTTTTCAGTGTCTTTGTTGATAAATTGCGCCTCTGTTCGACGTTTACATCAAAACCTTTAAAATAAAATATACATAAAGAGCACTTACAGAAAAAAGGAGTTTCTGGATATTAATTTTTTTGAAGATGGCCATGTGGATCATATTTAGAAATGCCTCAAAACAACAAACCACATTGTCGAGAAAAAAGAACGTCCGCAAGATAACTCGGATATTGTTAATCCTAAGGTTAATAAAAACGCTTTCCATAATAGGTTACCTCTTTAAAAAGTGTTCTTACTGGATATTCAGCTGACGAATTTCTGTGTATGTTAACTTTTTCCAAGATAATGACACAATGAAATTGGAGACTTTTGACAATTTCTTTAATTTATCTAAAGATAAACCATTCAATTTGATTCGAGATGAAAAAACTTATCCTTCTCTTTATAATGTATTATTTTCGGCAAACGTGGATTAATTCCGCGATGTGTTATAATCTGGCAAATGCAAAAAGACTGGCCATATCTATGGCCATTTTTTGAACTAATTGCTTTTCTTCTGTTGGTTCCGTTCCCAAATAACACATAAACGGAACATATAATTTAAAAAGAATTATATTTCTGCATGACTTTAATTCGGTAAGGGCTGCTTAACATTACCTTCGCTGTAACATATGCGCACACTTTGCTTATTCGAAAAAGTGAGCCGTGCGGTAAAACAAAATGCGATGAAAAGTTTTGTTAATGCAGTTTGTGCAAAAGAACTTCACAGATTAGCTAAACATAGTTTTTCATTAGTAGCTTGTTTATGAAAATAAATGCGACTCCTTAAATTTGACTTCACTTTCATTTGACTAACTTCAGACAGCATTTTTGCAGTTCTGGAAGGGATCATCTTTTCTATTGTTCAGCGATGATACCCATGTAAGCATTAAGGAAGTCAAGTTAAGCGAACGAACGTTTTAGATTAAATTATCATCAGGCAATACAGTAATATGAGGGAGGGTAGAGTAAACGAAAGTTTTAGGCAAATCAATCAGTAGTAACGAGGGGGAAGAGGGGGGAGAGAGGTGTAAAGGGATCAAGGGAATCAGATTCTAGTCTTTATTGGGGACCAGGGAAATGGGGGTGGGGGGAGGGGGGAAGGGGAAGGAGTCCGACAATTAGTTGATGTCATCCCGTGGTCCTCGTCTCGGGTTTTGTTGGGAGGTGTGAGGACGCA